CCTTTGCCCGTCCACGAAACTTGTAAACATAGTGTCACGAGGGACGACAGCCGGCAGTAAGTGACTCAAATCTGGAAGCTCTCCGACACAAGGTGGAGCTAAAGGGCTAGGAGTGGAAGACCGGGCTTCGGAAGCATGTTGTATGTATTAGCCCTGATACCTGACAAGCCTCCTTTCCTACTATATTATAGCTGCAAGAGAAGAGTCGAAGCTTCACCATATCCCGCTAGGACGAATTTGCAGAGCAAATGCGGCACATGCAGGTTAACCTGCGTTCTTGTGTAGAGAGCGAGATGTCATGTCTATGTAGTTTGTCGTCTATTTTCCGAAACTCACGCCGGTGTCTTTTCAGGTCTTTGGGTCCGCTTCTTGCTCAGTTTGATGTGGCCGAACCCAGGTAGTCTCTGGCGAAAAATCAAGGCCGCAGTCAGGACGTCCGAAGCTGGGAGTTGTCCGATGGATCGAAGCCGAAGCCCTAGCGATGGATTCAGAAAAACAGCTAAACTCCCTGCCAGGAAGGTGGTGGAGAAACTCCAAGCTATCAAGCTGTACCTCTTTGGGCAGCCTGACCTGTCAGAAGAGGGGTGTTGGCTCGGGCTTCGGTCCTTACCATTGCTTCGACTACTACTACTACTACCACCACTACTATTGCTACTACTTATTGCTACTACAACTTCTACTACTCTGCTACTACTCTGCTACTACTCTGCTACGACTCTGCTACTACTCCTACTACTACTACTACTACTACTACTACTACTATTACTACTACCACCACTACTACCACTACCACTACCACTACCACTACCACTACCACTACCACTACCACTACCACTACCTCTACCACTAGCACTAGCACTAGCACTACCACTACCACTACCACTACCACTACCACTACCACTACCACTACCACTACCACTACCACTACTACTACTACTACTACTACTACTACTACTACGTGGGTGACAAAAACTACCGGTACTTATTACTACCATTACTACTTCTATTCCCAGTATTTTCAAAATTACTATTGTTACTACTGCTAGTACTTGTATTTTTGTTAATAGTATTACTATGATAATTAGTTTTACCATTACTATTTTTTATTACTATTACTATTATTATTAGTATTACCATGTCATTACTATTATTAGTACTCCTTTTAATACTATTATTGCTGTCAAGTATTGCTATGGCTATAGTTATTTTTACTATTATCACGATTCTTATTGTTACTAATGTTTCTTTACGGCTACTACTGCCACTACTATTACTACTACTACTACTACTACTACCACTACTACTACTACTACTACTACTACTACTACTACGACTACTACCGCAACCACTGCTACGACGACGACGATTGCCACTTACGACGACGACGACGACTGCTACGACTGCGACGACGACGACCCACAGTAATTACTACCGACGACGATTAGTGACCTCTACTAAATGTTGGGATTTGTTGTTTCCGCTGCTCTCACCGCTTCTGCCACTACTACTGTTAAATCTACTGCTGCTACTACTCTTTCCGCTGCTGTTCTACTGTTGTTAAGACTGCTTGTGCCACCATTGCTATTACTACTTACTACTACTGCTGCTTCAACTGTTGCTACTGTTGTTGTTGCTGCTGCCACAAGTAGTTTTACTAGTGCTACTCCTCCTCCTCCTCGTCCTCCTCCTACGATTACTGCTTCTTCTACCACACATCGAGCTGTACCCTGGAAGTTTATTGCGGAGATGAGATGAGGTACAGCTTTGCTCCCTTCTCCGTCCGTCAGGCCCCTCGCATCGCAAGGGGCTGAATTGGGTTAATTCCGTATGCACTGCAGCTTATGAAGTTCGCACTGGCCTCGAGGATGTTTTCGACCTGAAAAATTTTCGGTGATGTTCGGCAGTTGTCTATTAGTCGAGGAGCACACGTATCCGATAATCAGCAGCTAAGGAGATGCAGCAGCGATTTGATGCGTACTTCCCCGACGAAAGCCAGCAAAACAGCTCTTTGCTGGAGGCCATCCATTTGCACTTCTCGAGTCATGGCATGGCCATGGCCGCGGTTGGGTTCAAGACAGTCCGGGCTCGTCGGATATTGCGGGCCAAAGGTGAAGCAGTCGAAGACCGCGGAAGAGGTGGACCACATCAGGATGGTGGAGGACGCCTTGTGGAAGCAATTGGCAGCACGTCGGCAGAGAGCCAACGCAAAGTGGTGTTTCGATTGTAGGTTTGGTGTTCGACGGACTTGCCATAAATATTCAACGTACAATGAATTCAAACCCTCCGTAGCCTGCGCAGACGCAGAGACCAAGTATGGTAAGTTCCGGCTCTCGTGGAGACTTCCCGATGTATGCGCTCGTTTGAAGGGGCCACGGTTTTGCTTCTTCTAGCCATTGAACGTCTGTGCGCTGCGACACCCCAGCAACCAGGCACAGAAGCCGCAAGCGGAGGCAGAGCATCACCTGTCTCCGCAACTCGGCACATGTTGAAGATATCGGGATATGTAGGTCTAGCAGAATCCAAAAGCCGTAGCAGCAGCAGTAGCAGTAGGAGGAGCAGGAAGGAGTAGGACAGTTGGAGTAGGCGCGTGAGTAGCAAAAGGCGTAGCAGCCGTAGCAGGAGCCGTGGCAATAGCAGTAGCACCCGCTGCTACAAGTATTATCTCTCAAGCCTCAGAATTGTAGGCAATGTCAACTGCGTCAAGAAGATGGGAGTAACAGCAGAAGCAGGAATCATAAGCACAATGGCCGCCACTCTCACCTCTACGATTCCGTTCAGGTGGGATCCCACCATTCCACACAAAGCTTGGCCACCCCTGCCGCTGCTCTGCGCTGAGGCTGCAAACAAAGATCGCCGAGGCAGAGAAGAGCGAGGAGGCAGACGTGGAGTTTTGAAGGACATTTTGGAGTATACCATAGTATATTCTAGTATACCGGAGTATATTTATAGTATACAATGTACTACAGCAAAAAATCGTATATCAGAGCATGTGAAAGTATATGATGACTACTGCGGGGATCAAGGCAAGTGTTCTGTTGTTGGCCTTCTAGCATTTGCCAGAAAAGACTGCCCGATGTCCTTGTGCAGCCGAGTCGTGGCTGCCTGGGCAGGGAGTAGTGAGCAGGCCCCGCAGGTCGTCACGACAAGATTCTTAATCAGCCTTGAAATCGGACTGCAGGCTTTGCTTGCACATGCACGGCGCACTGTGGAGTTGGAAACCGCGACTGGGCGGATGCTTTCGAGCTACTGCTTATTCTGTAAGCTGCAGCAGATGGTTCAAATTAAGAGCAAGTACAGGAATCAGAAGATTGACCGTCGCCGATCTATAGTGTTCAGCGGAGACGTATTTAGTCTTTGCAGAGTCCTGGATGCAGCAGAGATCTAGGACTAAAGGCATTAATGTGCTAGATATGCGCTGGCAGTAGCACTACAGCTACTACGGCGACTGCGACCACTACTGCTTTACTCTTTACTTCTGCTTCGAGTCCTCCTGGCTCGTAACAGGGTCCGCCGCGCGGCAGTACCAAGAACATCAGCTTCACTAGATTGTATTCAGAATTCATGCGCAGCCAACTAGCGAATCATGACGTGTTTGAGGGTTCTTGAAGAAAGTGGTTCTTGCGCCGAAGCTTTGCTACCTTACTTTTTATGGTGGGCGCAGGCATGGTGGTGCAAACAAGGCTCGAACTCCCAGGGATTATACGAGAGAGCGAAAGATGCCCCAAACCCCATCAACTGTAGATGTCAAGCTGGACATAGAGTTAGAGGCAGTACTGAATTCTCTTGACGCTGCTTCTAAGTGCTTCTGGCTTTAAGATAGATGATACGTGCTTTTCTTTGCTGTCAGTAGCATCTGGTCGTACTGAGCTTGGGTCCCGGACCCCGGGTCGAAACTTCCATGCTGCTTAGGTTTAGGGTTTAGGGTTCAGGGTTTAGGGTTTAGGGTTTGTTTAGGGTTTAGGGTTTGTGTCTCCGAGGGGAGATTCTGCGATGCTTGCTCTTCATTCCTCTGGTTCTGTGTTTCCCTTGGCTCGTCATAAGGTGTTGCATCTTCCGCGCGACCAAAGCCGAGGTGAGGCAACAGCAAGAGTTTCAGCGGAAGTTGCCAGGCATGAAGCACAACCTGGACTGCCGCGAGGTGCATCGCCTACAGACTGGGAGCTGGTTATGCAGTATCGTTCCTTCAGGCCAACATTAAGTTTATTTAATATCCAAGTTCCCTGGAATGGTGTGGGGACACTGCACGAGGATAGCGTTCCTGGACGATGCCTCTAGTACTTTACTGCAGGTTCTTCACACTTCTTGGCAACATGTGCAAGCAATGTGTCAGGACCTAGCTGCAAAGACAGAAGCCTATCAATGCCATACCCCTAACGTCTAACGTCGAACCGAGAGACCTCGTCTAGCGGAGTCCGAGTTGCGAGAGCGTCAACCCTAAACCCTGATCCGACCATGACCGTCTCTGGCAGACAGAAGCCCAAATCTCGTGTGCCTGTCCTGATACCCGCATGCCTGCATCAGCTGTGTATCCCCACATACGTTCTCGAGTCTGCACAAGAGCTGGGTGGCTTGCTGCACCTCAGTTGTACCTTCGACCTAGAAGTGGTTGAGTCATCTTGAGCCTGGGAGGCTTACATGTGGAGAGGTGGTTGAAACTATAAGTAAACGTGAGCTCGGCGGGAAAAAGGGGCTACACACTTTCATGATCCGGAAACCCTTAACCAGACCCCCTGATTCCTTAACCGAGGAACCTAAGCCACTACCTTTGTAGTTTTTGGCTGCCGCAGGTGTTGGAGGCTTCTGCAAAGAAAGCTGTCGTATCGCTATCGCTGATTGTGTCATTCCCGAGCCTGGACTGCTTTATGCTCTGAGGCCCTCGTGGGTATGTTGAAACTCAGTGTATGCATGTGTGCGTGTTAGATACGTGGGTATGTACATATGTGTGCCTGTACCTGCAAATCCGTGGTTCTATGAGTTTGAACCGCGCCACACATATAATTGCATATCTCCCTGTCTATATACATATGTATGTATATTTGCGTATATACACACACACACACACACACACATATATATATATATAGATACACTCACTCACTCACTCCCTCGCTCACCCACCCACCCACCCACCCA